TGGATTACTAAGGGTTGGAGGAATACTTATAAATTCCAATCTTTCATATGATACAAAGCATCAAATAATTGTGCCATCTAAACACTATTTTGCTGAATTGTTGATAAGAAATGAGCATACACGATTACTTCATGCTGGCCTCCAATCTGTATTAGTGTCATTTAGAAGGAAATTCTGGTTACTGTCTGGAAGAAACAGCGTGAAGAAGGTCTTACGTTCTTGTATTACTTGTTTCAAGGTCACAGCATCTGCTAATAATCAACTTATAGGACTGTTGCCCAAGAATAGATTATGTCCTTCCTTTCAATTTGAATTCTTTGGACTTGACTATGCAGAACCCATTAAATTAAAGGTTGGACTTCGTCGTAGCAGTGCTGTTAGCAAGGCCTATATTGCCCTTTTTGTTTGTCTTGTCAACAAGGCTGTTCATTTGGAATTGGTTTCTAGTTTGACTACTCTTGCCTTTATTTCTGCACTGAAAAGATTCATTGCCAAGAGAGGTAAATGTCGTCATATGATAAACGACAATGCCACTAACTTCGTGGGTGCAGCTGCTGAAATCATTTTTTTAGACCCAAGAATCTGTAAGGGTTAAATCATAGAGGAGAAGGTGGTATTATGGAACACTGCGGGTATTATGGAACCACCCCATTTCGAACTGATAATAAAGGCGAACTGTAGCGGAATGTGGCTGAACTGAACTAGGCAGACATCCATAGCGAGGGGAAAACCCGTTTTACTTCAGTTAAACGGTTGTCCGTATTTAATCGGCAAATTTTATTTTTTTCAAAATTCGCAAGTTTTGAATGCTAAGCGAATTTAATTATTTTTAAAATATAAATCGTGTAGTTGTGGGTTCACTGGTGCATGTATTCCGTTCCAGAGACTTAGGGGTACGTATTAATCTGTGTGATGTTCACATTTCTTAAATTTTGGTCTCGACAGACATAAGTTAATTCCAGATGGCGTTGCGTGAAATACAAACCCCTTTAGTGTTTTTACAGTAATATGGAACTCAACTTCTCCGAACTCTCTCTTTGCAAGCAGACAATCGTCCGGAGCAATTTGTGAAAAAGACACTAGGTAGAAAGTCAGTTCTTCCCGAGATTATCGAAAAAGAGCTGCTGGAATATATATTGTTGACGGAGGTCATATTTTTCTATTATAAAAGCATTTTTGCGATAAAATACATTGGAGTAAATAATTTTGTAATTATTTAACATTTTTTGTACTTTCCTATTTGTTTTTGGCTACATTAAAGCATTTTTTGAAAATATACGGTAAGGTTCCATATTACCACCCGATTTTCTCTAAGCCTACTTTCGGACTTTTTGTACAAAAGCCTTTGAAAACCATACTTATAATTAAACTAGCGAAAACTCCAATTAGGAACATTTAGTTTAACAGTTACCGGTACTTTTCGCACAAAAAATGTGGGTGTAGTTATGATACCTTGTTTACAATTCACTAAAATGTAATTGGAGTTCCATAATACCACCTTCTCCTCTATCTAACTAATAAATTTATCCAGTATATACTCTATTACTTTATTATTTATGTTTTTACGTTTTATTTTATTTGCGAAAACATTTTTTTAATTTAAATACCGTCGTAACGAGAAATAAAATCTGAGATAACGATCGAAATAAAAATTTTTTTTTTACGGGAAAAAATATTGTCCACTTACAAAATAGCGAAGCGACGGTATCTTCTGGTAAAGTAAATACAAGTAAGTTGAAACTTTTATATTTCTTCATTCGGAAAATAATAATAAACGTAGACGCTGCGATAAACGGGCGCCAATATTGAAGAAAACAACGGTTTAACCATTTTAACTTGTCCTTTTTCGTATATAAAAATAATATCCCCGTCTTACCCCGAGGGTGGGGAGAGATGGTGCATTTACGTATAATTTTAAAATATTAAATTTTCTTGTTTTTCAAAAATTAAATTTTGTGTTATATATTACCAAATGTTGTAGTTGCCGAGAATAAAAAAATTATCGTTCTCGTCCAAGTGATTGTCCTCTTATGACTTTTCAAACCTTAACATCCTCGTCCTGCCCCATCTTCCCCTAATTATTTCAAACGTAAGAACTATCGAAAGTTCTATCAAAAAAGTATTTATAAATAATTTTAATCAATCAATTAGCTTTTAACCAGTTAAGTGTATGGCTGTAACTACTTAATCAGTGTTTTTTTTTTTTTACTCTTTTCGCCCCGTGGGCACTAAGAGGGCATCTTAAAGCGTGCCCATTACGGGTTCGGCCGGGTCCGCGATGGGGCGGCCGGATGGTGAGGGACGGGGCCCGAAGTATCCGAACGGACCACCCGTTTTTTGCGTTTTTTTGTTTGCAAGTTTGCAAATTTTGCGTTAAATTTGGGAAGTCCGCCACCGAAACTTTTACATTAATTCGGCGGGTCTTTGGGAGTGATTGCTTCTCCAAATCACAAGTCTTTCTAAGGCACGAGTCGTTCCAGGATGACCGAGAGGAGGTCACCGACAAACTTTGCAGCGGACGTCCATCAACCTCCCGAATCAACCTCTTTGACATCGGAGACATTAACCACCACGAATTCGTACCTGTCGGGACCACTGTAAAGGCAGCTTTCTACTTGGAAGTGTTCGAAAGACTGTCCTAGTCACGCGCTGCCCAAGTGACATCGAGGACACGCGGAAACTTCATCACGAGAACGTGCCAAGCGCAGCGCCTTCGCTGTCTATGATTTCCCCGCCAGGACCCACACCCCATTGGTTCCCCAGCCACCTTACAATCCTGACCCGACCTGGCTCCCGCCAACTTTTTTTTTTTTTTTTCCCCGCACGAAAGGGAAACATTGGGACACGATTGAAAACATCGAGGCTTATGTTACATCAACTCTAAAGGACATTCCGGAGAAGGCCTTCCAGAATGTTTTCCAGGCCCGGAAACACCGCCTTCACATGTGTATCGATGCGGGAGGGTGCTATTTCGAAGATTTTTGACTAATTGTAAAAATATGTTCAATAAATGATTTTTTATGAATTTGGTCGCATTACTTATGGAACGCACCTCGTATACATTTTTTTCTATAAACAATTTACATAATGTGTATTTTGCAAAAAAACATTGTTGAATAATTTAAAATATCTTGTTAATTTTTCTCTTTTTCTTCATTTGCACGAAGGACGGTTTCTTTGTTGTTATATTCTTGTATAGTTCCTAATACAGTACTGACTTCAATTTCTATGTTCCGTTAACAACAAAAATTGAACACATCTTATCAATCCTTCTCGTGTTTTCCTGGATACAAGTTTTCATTTATTACACGGAAATACTCTTGATTGGTTGATATGAATCTGAAAATAAAACGAGTCCAAATTAATTTTTCTTATTAATGAACATATATTTACGTTATTGTGTGCTGATAAGGACTAGCAACTCGGTAGCTTCGAATCATATCCGTTCCTCACAGTTACTGTTTCAGGAGGTCAGATTTTTTCCCGAGTCGCAGGTGCAGTGGCAGAGACCGCTCGAAAGTTGTTACGTAACTTTTCCGGGACGGGACTGTGCACACGTGTTACGCGATGAGTCAGCTTTTCTAATGATATTTTGCTTCCTGGAATGTCCGTAAGCATTCGTCTAACATGTCCTCTTATAAAGACGAACTCTCGTATTATGATGGCATTGTTGTAAAGAATGACCGACCGGGTATACCTGTCTCGTTACCTAAGAAATACTTGCAAAGAATACACAAAGGTCGTGCGCTAGAAAAGCAGTTTTCTGTCCAAATACGACAGCCGACGACATCGACTACGTTAATTTTAACAATGTACTACGTGTGATATTCAAACGCGTGGAAAGGATAACTCGTAATGGACCACAGTACTGCTAGTCGCGGTTTCGTTCGTTTTCTAAAGCGTGGGAATTCACTCATCAAACTTTGAATCAGCACATTATATTAGTCCATCGGATTAGCGAAGGGTGCAGAATGCCAAACTACTGTTACATATCTACCACAATTGCATATAACGTTACTTCACATTCGAATCTATCTTCACTCGCTACGCAATTATTTGGAAGACCTACGAAAAATGATTCAGACCAATCGCTAATTCGGATTTACCAAGCCGGGTACACCGCAAACTTCAATTCAACAGATTTAAACAGAAATATTATGCCGATCATTTCGTGCCGATTTAAAAGTTGCAGCTTCTAATTCTTCCTCCAATCTGCCGGATTGGAGGAAGAATCGCAGCAAATCACACTTTTTACGTTTACAATGAAATGCACTTATTGTAATCGCTTTGGGATCAGTTGCTAAAGCGAGTAATGATAACTGATCACCGAGTAAACACGATTAAAACTTTTCGTTTCGGAATATACCTATTCTAACAACAATAAACGAATTATTCGTGATTAATAGAGATGTTTTAGAACCTAAATAAATGACACTCGTACTTAAACTAATAAAAATACACTGTTAATTCAACTTTGTAGAATTATTTTTTAATTAATGAAACCGTTCTGTTTCGTATGAAAACTCAATTGCTTTATATACAATATGAAAATTACAAAATGAAAGAAATAAAACTTCAAACATTTCTTGTTTTAATGTTCAATAAAATCTAAATACGAATATTAATAAGAAAAAATACTTTTGTTAACATTTTCTTCGTAACAAATACAGTACTGTTATTCATTATCATTACGATATTTAATAATATGATAATTTAAATTACGTTTAAAACGGAACTTTTGTAAGTAATAAGTACACGATAACGGCTTTTACTCCGAATGAGTTCGAAGATGTCGAATCAGAGTTGTTTTCCGTGTAAAACTTCGTTTGCAATGGTCACAGGTAAAGGGTTTCTCCCCTGTGTGAGTACGCACATGATTAATCAAGACACTTTTGTATGTGAAACGTCGTTTGCAATGGTCACAAGTGAAAGGTTTCTCCCCGGTGTGAGTCTTGACGTGGTAATATAGACTGCTGGAATACTTGAACTGACGAGTACAGAATTTGCAAGATAAGAGCCCTTCTCCAGTGTGAATCCTTTGATGATATTTTAAATTACACTTCGAAGCGAATTCTTTCTCGCAACTGTCACATTGATTCTTCCCATTCTTTCTCTTTTGGAGGTTTAAACCTGTAAAATACGAGAAATTTTAAAACCTAATGATCAAAACTCCCTTAAACTTATTATCAATCAAATATCTAAATTTAAGCGTACTAATTCTACAGAACTGTTAAAGTTTTGAGTGCAGATAGAAAAAGACTTCCTTTTATCAAATTTCTTTAAACTAAAATTTAAACCTTACAATTAACTGGATCACATCACATCACACCTTAGATCACACATAAACTGCTTACGCCGGTATTCACAAATATTGCCAAACACGTACAAATACATTACAATCACAAATTAACGTAATTTATACATTTTTTCAAAACAATTTATGTGAAGTGTATGTTGCAAAATAACATATTCGAAAATAATTTAAAATATCTTCTTAATTTTTCTCTTTTTCTTCATTTGCGGGAAAGATGGTTTCTTTGTTGTTATATTCTTGTGTAGTTTCCTAATACTGGCTTCAATTTTAGTGTTTCGTTAACGACAGAAGTCGAACACATCCTTCAGCAGTTTTCGTGTGTCTCCGGAAACAATTCTCTACTAGAAAGACGTTCTTTATTGGTTGAAAGTGAATCTGAAAATAGCAAAGTTCGGAATGAAATCAGATACGAGAATTACGTCATACATTATTTTATATAACAATTAAAATAATTTTAGAAATTCTTTCTTGGAGACGTCACGCCACAAAATTAAAGCCGGGTTCGAAATCTAAAAAATAAACGAATTCGAATTAATTTTCTTCTCTAGGAATACGTATGAAATACATTGATAAAATAATATTAATTATTAATACGATCTTTAAATAGTTTTATCTAAATGTTTAGAAATAAGTAGATCAGATAATACCGTATTTTACGAAGATCCTTTCCTTTCATTTTCGTATTTACAGCTTTGATTGTTTTTATAATTTCAAATTCTTCAATAATTTCTAACCTTTCCTCGAAAATTGTGGTTCGAAAAATGCTGGAAAAAAATGACAGATCTACTTACGTTCGTCGACATTAAGTCGAGAAACTTCAATCGACGAAGAGACTTAAAGCACTTTCAATACTTTTTACCAAACTCTAGGGCCATTCGATATTTCGCGAAATGTTAATCGTCTTCGGCTTCCGAGGAAATCTTCCTTCTTTTTCCTTTCTAATGTAATTGTCAAAGAGATTTTCTTCTTCGAATCGACACTACAAATAATCATTTTAAACATAAGTAAGTGTACAACTAGATTTTCGATTGTTGAAATAAAATGGCGACGGTCAAAAGGATGACGAAACAACTAACCTATCTGGAGAATTCCATAAGCTTTTATTCGTATGACAAAACGACTTTAAATGCGACAGAATGCGAACGTCTAGACCAGTGTTTCTCAACCTGTAACGAACTATCGCCCCCTTCACTTCAAAATTCCGAGGCCGAGGACCAAGGCTAATGCCAAATTCGTACTACATTGAATAGACTAGTGACTAGTATAATGTTATTTGTTTAATTATTGTACGATATAACGAATAAAATATCTAATTATTCTTAATATAATGTTTTACTATATCGCCCAGAAAATTGTTTTTCGCCNGGCCGAGGACCAAGGCTAATGCCAAATTCGTACTACATTGAATAGACTAGTGACTAGTATAATGTTATTTGTTTAATTATTGTACGATATAACGAACAAAATATCTAATTATTCTTAATATAATGTTTTACTATATCGCCCAGAAAATTGCTTTTTGCCTCCCAAATATAAATTGTCACTAATCGGCCCCTCAACATGGAAAATCGCCCACATGTGGGCGATATCGCCCCCGTTGAGAAACACTGGTCTAGACCCAGAGCGAGTGCTAATTAATATTTAAGTTCCCATTGTATTGTATTGTTCTCTTCGATCTTTCAAAATTTGTCCGTCGAAAGAGTATTTGAAACGATTCTTTAGTTTTAAAATATTTCGTACGTAATTAATTCTTTCACGTTTTCGTAAAGTTAGTTTGGACAACGGCGACAGTTGTTTACAAGTAAATATAATACGTGTCCTATTTCGAGGGTGGGAATTGTAAAAATACCCGTTAAGTAGACGCGTCCGTTAACGAAGGTTTCGCTGTGTTACGATTTTTTGTTTACTATTTACGGTTTCGAGATAATTTTAGAATTGCAGAAGTTCGTAGCCAGAAAAGATTTTCAGACGCGCAGAGTGAGAAAATACCAACTTTTAATTCGCCTTGTGTTTTATTTTATTCGTAATTCCACTTTATAACCTTACGACTTAGAGCGTTCTGTTCTAAATGTAAACCGAATTAGCTTTAACGGGAAACCCGTAAACTTTGACCCGTCGATCCGAAGTTTTGGCACCAAGTAGTTTTTTTCTACGAGCGCGTGCAGTGCCGGACAAAGAAATATAAGGAAAACAAAATATAGTGGTACCTCGGTATACGTCTGCTTTAGAATACGTCCTGTTTGGACGAAACAAATTTTGCTCGGTATACGACTTAATTCAATTATACACGCCATCTATGAACAAGTAGCACTATAGGCATACTAGACCAGACTAGACGTCGCGGTGCCACGGTTTATAACTGTTAAATTTCTCTTTATTTTAATTTGTAAGTAAAATTTTATTATTTTTATTAATCACGAATTGCAAAAAGGCAACAGAAAAATAAAAAAAAATGACTAAAATCACGATGGAACTGAAAAAAGAGATTGTTGGGAAATACGAAGGTGGCACGCGTGTTCGAGATTTTAACTGTTGCGTACGGTATTCCCAGAACGACGATATCCACAATCGCGAAAAATAATGACATTACAGTAGAACATCGATTATCCGACTCAATTGCGAACTGGGGTTGGTCAAATAATTGAAAAGTCGGATAACCGAAAAGTATGAAAAAATTCATTAGTGTAGTATATTATTATATCCCGTGTAATTAGTATATCGCTATTAACCTACTTCGCGTTGAATTTTCCTCCATGTACGGCCTATCAATTTTTTTTTTAAATAATAATCGTCGCTATTGTATCGTTAAAAATGAGAAAATTAAGTCACATTTAAATACAGTAGACCTCCCTATAACGCTTAGATACGCTCCACTTTATAAGAATTTTACGTTGTAGGAATCCTTAAATACGTGAGACAATCATAGCCCAACACGTGTGAAGTTTACGGACTAAGGCTGTTTGAAAGGTTTTCTTCTATAAAATTAACCGATTCTAGACTAATTTGACTCAACATTTCCAAAACACGTATAATTTTTTGGGAATAATCCGTATAAACTACGCTATAAACAAAAAATTGTAGGATTACTTACCGAGGGTGCACCGTTCGACTACGCCGTTGCTTACGCTTGTTTTCGTCGCGAAGCAGCGCATCAAACGCCGGCCGCGATTTCTGATAAATTATTTTTCTGCGAAAAATTAGTTGACCTTTGGAGACATCATTAATATAAATAATTTTTATGGCCGTTGAATAAGAAATGTTTCTTTCACAAGAAATGTATAAAATTA